AGATGCGGACTAATCCTTATAATACGGGCGTAAGAGGCAGACAATAGCTACCTTTCGGCTAGCTGCGCAACACAACAACGTCTATAGTACATTTTGAATGAAACTTTCACAGTTTGTCCAAATCTTCCATATTTTCATGACTTTTTTAATCAGTTTTGAAGCTGCCTTTAGGTGCGCTACTGCGGCATGAACACTGGAAATGCTGATATGTGTCATTCTATTTGCTGAGATTGTGAGTTTTGGATCTCTTCAAAGCTGTTTTGACTGTAATAAGTCTCTTCAAGTTTCCAACAAGTAGCGCAAAGCTGTTCAACGTGCGGATTCAGCTTCCTCCTAGCTCGGACCGTGACCATCGCGGCCAGCTACTGATTGCTGGTCGACCATATGGTAGGAAAACTTCTTCTATACTATGCTATCGTGACTTCCGTTCAAATTCTTGGGTTATGAAACTGTTTCAGACTTGGTGACTACAGAATCATTTTGTGAAGAACTTTTATTGAGTCTATAGAGCTTTTTGTTTCATTAACTGTAAGTTGCAATAAATAGCAGTAGTAGACATTTTTAGGTCTTCATTATCTCCACCTACTGTTATGCACTGGTCTTTAAGTTGTTGAAATAGTCTATTTTTCATAATTTTATTTTACGTTAGTTGAAGGCAAAATATCGCAGGAAGCCCGGAAGATTTTTTGAATTTCTGATTTCTTTGTGGGTCTACAACGCAGCTTCTTTCGGAAAAAAATTTGTATGGTCCATTATGTAAACAATGAAGACTAAGCAAATTTTTCGTCTGAAACTGAAGACATATCACCTACAAATTCGTGAGTAACAATGGTGCTTATAAATCGGCTTTGTAAACTAGGCTCTGAAATTAATCCATTGCGTAATAATTTGAGGAAATGTTGTTGCACAAGGCTCAGGTGGTCACTCAAAATAATTTCAACTTGCTCATCCTTACCCTTAACAAATATCATTTTCTAACAACAACCCTTTCCTCGCTATGGATCTAGAAATAGCCAAGAGGAGTAGCAGTTTCCATTTTTTCGCTTTCACAGAGTGGCTCGAGACTGTTTACATGGCGCTGGGGAGATATAGAGACGAGGGATGAGTGACCAAGTGAATATTGTTTTTGTTGTTCTCATAAAGGATAGTATTTCAGGAACTGGAAGATATCCTGTTTAGAGACAAAGCATTTGCATATTTTGGTAGGCGGGAGGGGGGGGGGGGGAAAACACAGGAAATTGACCTTGGGACTGTTCTTGTCATAGAATCTTCAAATAAAATCCTTATTCTCAAAAATTTCAGATTTTCGACAGCTGAACTCTTCTTGGAACCTTTCCATCCTTTTTTTGTTCAAACAAACCGCTTCTTGGTCATTTTTTCTTCATTTGCAAAGCTTAACGAGTGCTTATTGGGCTTGCGAACACTTTCAGACCGCCTGAGGTGATGAGCCGTCAGTTGCGGAACTCATTTTGTTTGCATATGTCAATCGTTTCGGTCAACGTTTTCGCCGAAATCGTCCTCTGAACTCCTAGTTCCGTCATCGTTCAGTAATGAATTGATTATTTTCTCACTAAAACCTATGAAAATGCAACTTTTGACTTTACAGTTTTCCTCATCCACTGCTGTTTTTCTCCAATAAAAATCCAAAAATTTTCCGAATTTTGCAACTTTTTGAACGGATCTCATTTAGCTCAACGCACTCCTCAAACTGAGGAGGCTGAGGATCACGCTGAAATCGCGGTTTTCTCGCCGTTCGCTCTCAAGAGCCTCCCTCAAAGGCCTTTTGTTTTTGTTTGCCCGTGCTTCATGTCAAGCACACCACCCAATCGTCTCCACGATCAAACGCTAGCGATATCGAGGATCTCGGCTCGATCTCGCACTCCTCCGCTGACCGCTACGGTTGCAAATAGTTGCGCATTGATTTTGAGTTCAGAATGTTAAGTGCCATTATCATTCCTACTATTTCAGTACCGTCTGAGTACTTCAGTACTCGGACATCTTCTTCTTCTTTCTCACATCATTTTATAAGTCTGCAGTTTTCCCAACTACAGACTAGCCGAAGTTTTAACATGTTTCTTAGGCGATATGATAATCCAGTCAGTTCTAAACGTAATCTTCTCTTTCAATCTCCACTCCACTAGAATCCTTTGTAGAAAGGCTTTTATGTGGCTTGTTGCTTTATTCCTTGGAAGCAAAAAACTCTTGAGGCGCATCAATTCAATAAAGAGTACAGAACCTAAATTCAACTGACTTTCTTCGTTGAAATGTACCAATCGCCACCTGAAACGACGAAATGTTGCAAGCAGATTTTTGGTACTTTTCCTTTATCCGGACCCAATTTTTCAAAATAGTTATTGCTTTTTCCTTTGTACCATATTTCGTCCCAACTTCACAGGATGGAGTGTCAACTTTCCTGCCACGTGCCAAAAAACTTGACATGCCTACATGTTTGGCAGGTATCTTCTTTCTTGAATTGAGACCAAAAGTTGAACCAAGAGTTTGAATAGCTCTACCTAGCGACCTAAGTTGAATCTGTTTTTAGTCATTAGTGGCCCATTTTTTCGATTGAACGGTATCAAAAATGAACATTGTTCATAATAACATCATTTTGCTATTGATAAACAGATTAGAATTGTACAGAATAGAGAAATGGGTTGGGGTCTCATATCTAACAAGGAAGGCTTCCCAAGTCAGCTCGGCCAACCCGGATGAGTCATATATCACCGTAACGGGCTCGAGACGCTGATTCCAAATCTGCCATTTCCAGCTGCGGAGCGGTCCTGGACGAGAAGTTATGGGTGGTGGTTACCTTCAGAGTTGAGGCACCTGTCAACTTGCCTCCCCTTGTTTATGAGCGCGTGTGTCGTCTGGTGTAGTGGTAAGTGTCTTGCTCGATAGGCAGAGGGTCCCGGGTTCGAATCCCGTTAATTGCAACTTTATTGCAATTTTTTGCAAAATGTAAACTTGGAATTAAAAGAAGTTCTAGGATCCAGTGCTTCAAAACCATTTACAAACCCAAATTTACATTTTGCAAAAAATTGAAATAAAGTTACAATTAACGGGATTCGAACCCGTGACCCTCTGCCTATCGAGCAAGACACTTACCACTATACCAGACGACCACTCCCCTACTATATAGCGCTCATAAACAAGGGGAGGCAAGTTGAGGGGTGCCTCAGCTCTGGAGGGAACCACCACCCATAACTTCTCGTGCAGGACCGCTCCGCAGCTGGAAATGGCAGATTTGGAATCAGCGTCTCGAGCCCGTTACGGTGATATATGACTCATCCGGGTTGGCCGAGCTGACTTGGGAAGCCTTCCTTGTAAGTAGCGAAACAAGCAGTAGCATGAAACTTCAAGCCATTCCTGCAAGACGATAAGTTTGAAGGGAATGACAATGTTGAATATTGCTGAAAACGATTAAGGTGTTCTTATATAAGTTCTAGATCGTTCTCATATAGAAAAATTAAACAGCTTTTAGTGATCACAAATGCTCCTTGGCCTCACCGAAGATGATTTCCAAAAAACATGTCAAATGGACCAAAATGGTCAATATTCCTGACACATGGCAGGGAGGCAGTCCTCGTGAAATTTATAAAAAATGTTCTCAGAGTAAAGAACGTATTTTATAAGTTTTTTATAATTTCTAATAAATTCGAAGAATTATTAGAAATTATAAAATTTATTATTAGAACATAGTAGTAAATAACGCCAGATGTACTTTGAAATGCTAATGTGAGATCCATATAAAAAATGAACTATAAATCAGTTAAATAAATTTGCGAAGTCGCTGAAAGAGCGAATGCATCTGCAGCAAATTCGGAAATTCTAAAATTATTGATATTGGTTCGAGTCTCCATTTTTTTGCTAGCGAACAATATAAGGTTTTTAGAAAATCCTGTTGAAATACAAGAGATATTTGTTTGCTTTCATCTCCATCATCTTCGACTTTCATAATCCTTGAACAGAATATGGAGTACAGGATTTTATTTACAAGTTACCCTTAGAAAATTTTGCACTTGCTTTTACAGTATACCAATTCTTCTTACGATTAGAATAGTTGTGATCAGGTGTACTGTATTTATTTGCAAAATCGCAAGAAAATTAGCCGATACTATCCATTTCTGCTTTCTTTTTCCAGCCGCATTTATGATTTTCATTAGTGAAAGGAGCCAATATTGCTCCTTACAAATCCCATTATAAAGCATCACAGAATAAAATCATTCTTCGTTTTCTGTAGATATGAACAATATACAACAGCCCGAATTTTGGGCTTTTGCGAGCATCACCTGTCTGGAAAGACATTTTTGGTGGTCACGTATAGTGAAGTAAGGCAGAAATAATGAACTATACTAGTAAATCATTATAGCTCCCAAGAATTTGGCTGTTTCCAACTTGATCTCATGTGTAAAGGGTATTGATGGCTGCAAAAAGCAACCGTGCCTTTTTCAGTTTTGATTTGGCTACAAGACCGGTTCCTGTAGAGGAAAGAGGAAGCAGTGCAAGCGATGTCCCCTCTACATAAGAAAACGAACGGACGTGGACCACTTCTGAGTGGTCCAGTTCTTTATTAGTAACAATGTCTGACTTCTTTTTCATCAGCAGACTATGTAAATATAGCATTTGAATGGGATTTGTCTTCGAAGTAGAAAAACTGGATGCTTGACGTTCAAGAACCAGGAATTCGACGGAGCAGCAAGCCCACGTGATCTTGGATTCTTGATAATCCTGTCCTCTTGCTTTCTCTCTCTTTCTCTATCGACAGCACCTCCCATTTTTCTTCGACATCTCTTCCAGAGCTTTTAAACTTTAAGCCGTAATTGACTAGACATTCCTGCTCATAAAATTCTGTTTATCCATGCTAAACCTCCTTGCGAATTATCCGTTCAAACTTCTTTCGTTCTCATCCGTAACCACCTTATCCGAAGAAGATTGTAGTACGAAATCAGCGATAAAGAGCAGTCGCTGACGGTCAGCCGAGCTTGGATTCATTCCGGGATATGCTGCCGTCATCGCTGTGGTGCGACTTATTCCTCCTCACTGGAGTGCTTGCTGACCTTCTCGTGGCTCCTCGAGTTGTCAACAGCGTTAATTATGATGGTTTGTTTATGAAAGTAAATAAGGATCATTAGGTTATAGGTCATACTATTTTATTATCTCGATGCTTCTTGCGGGAAAAAAGTATTTCTATAAACGCCGAGCAACCTCTTCAAGTGTCTGGCTAAAGTTTTTTTTCAAATATACTAAATTAAATCTCTAACCGTAAGTAATAATTTTAGTAATTTCAAATACTATATTGATGAATCGGCAACATTATATTACAAAATTCTAAATTTCATTGCACCGTGAAAACATCTTTGCTGAACACAATTTCATTTTTGATTTGAGATAACTCCACATTTTCGTCAGTGACTTGAAATTTACATAAGTCCAAATTTTGTCATTTTCCGGGGTGGAGGAACGAACGCCTCAATTTGGCACCGCCTCCGTGGACTACTGGTCCCAACACGATGTACAACAGTAAGACGAAAGGACCAGCAGCCCGCAGAAGCGGCGCCTAATTGAGGCGTTCGTACCTCTACCCGCTCTGATAATCTACATCCGCTAACTTATATAAGAGATTCCCTTTGATATTAGCTTCGGACCTGCTAATTGATAGCTATATTACATAAAGAGAATCTGACTTTTGAGAGCGCAAAGTTAGTGATTACCTCCTCAAAAACGATCCCAACGAGCCCAAGAGCTAGTGAAAGTTGAGAAATCACTTTGAATTTCATGTTGTTGGACCACCCTGCATCTCATCGCTTATTCACTTCATTTGCTTATTGAAGCTGCACGGAAAAAATTCTTGAATACGTTAGTGTTTCGACTTTTTGGGACTTTAACATGGAGTGAGTTTGATTTTTTTAGAACCAACGTTTTGGGAAGGAGCACTTCAAATAAAGGAATAGTCGTTACAAAATGAATTTCTGAGAAGCAAATAAATGTTTTTCTTGCATATGGTAACTTTGTAAATCCTTTCAGCCGTAGATTTCAGTATCGAAGTTATTGGTAAAAGACAGGACTTTCTGTGCGGAAAATGGGTTCACCGAGACTAAGTGAGCAGTTCCTAAGCTTTTTCGTGTTCTGATTTGAGGCGATTGCAATTTATAGATAATTACAAAACCACGGCAGAATATGGTGATAAAGCAGAATATTTAGTTCTATTAGATTTTTCATACGGTGTAAGATTATCATAATGTCACAATCTCTAGATTACACCCTACTATGCGCCGACGGTATCCCACTGCTTATGGAGGATCATCGGCCTCGACCGTGTCAACCTCGGCCATGGCTGCGCGAGCAGAAGTGCGTAAGCTCAGTGCGATCGTCACGTTTCTTTCCTCTATTTGTCAATTCAACGATTTTTTGCGTCCTCTCACGCTCTATAATCGCAGATGCCCCGCCGGTTTTTGGTGTCACGAAGGTGAAGACGAGTCGAGCTATTATTGCTGTCCGGCGAATAGAAAATGTAAAAAAGCATTATCTCACCTTTGGGCAAAAACAAAAATTGTCTGTTACAGTAGCAAACCGGTGTCATTTGCCACCAGCCACTGGTCATGGAAATAAGGCAATGAGACGGTTCTACTATGATTGGACTGACGACGGCTGCCATGAACTAAATTATACTGGTATTGGAGGCAATGAGAATAGTTTCACGAGCTATGACCAATGTGAGAAAGCATGTCGAGGTGAGCTTCAGAAACGTTCGATTCGATACTTTTCTCCTCAGCATAATTTTCGAAATTTTTCCTTAGTTCCTTCATTCCTTGTGATAGGTTGATAAATATGGATTTTTCGTTGACAGTTTTTATAAAGTTTAGCCTATTCTTTTTTTCCTTGTGAACAAAGTCGCATAAGTATTTTGAATCCCTGCGCTTACCATAATCTGTTTGTCTACATCCGCAAGTTGTTTGCTGAGTTCGCGCAAGTTCTATGTAGCCAAAATTCCAAAACAAGTGAGAAATTCCCGCAGTCCTAAAATGGAAGATCGAAGAGGATAATGTTCAATTATTGTCAAAAAAACATTTATAGTTTGCTCTTTAAATCAACTCTTTTTGCAGATCCATCAGAATAAGCTTATAGAATGTTGCTACGTGGGCTTGATATCCATTTGATATCCATACACAAAAGAAAGACTTAGGTTGAAGGAAGCAGTAAAGGTTTAAAAACATGATTTCAACTTTCAGCTCATATGGTTTTTTTCGCCAATGTTTTGTGTATCAATACATTACTTACCGTGGTACACTTATCAAAATACTGTTCCTGATATGATATAGAAAAATGAATTCTAGTACTGTATAAGAAGACTTATGGTTGCAAGTATTTGGTGAAAAAATATGATGTACTTCGATAGTTAATTTACTAACAATATTTCTGAGAAAACGCTTATTCGTAAACGTTTCGAAAAATCGAGATAGGCAAGTCTATGCAAGGTAACTACTTGATTTTGAATTACATACTCCTTGTTCGATGTGATCTAAATCGAAAAATACTGAAAATTTCGAAGCCGCAGCCCCCACCTACTTTGCGGAATGTACGTAGATTTTCCTCTCGTAATGATCTTATAAGTTACTCCAAAAAATTTCAGGAATTGGAGAGCCTTCTGTCAAATTTCCGAAAGATGCGAATCTTCTTAAAAATAAAAAAGTCAACAAGTCGTCCACAAAAATTCCTGCGATAAGACCTAAAGTCAGTCTTGCTCTTATTTCGCGCCTAAAAGTGGAATTGGTAACTTTGTTTTTAGGAGGGGACCAGGACAGCACTGGTTTCAAGTACAACAGCATCAACTCCCATTGCCGCTGTTACCATGAATGCATTGAAATTGACTACCACAATTCCTGCAGCTTTCCCTACCGGTTCTACAACTCCAAGAACGAGTTTGTTCAAAAAATGAATAATGAGAGAAGTTTCTCCTGTCCTAATCAATAAATGTTTCAGGTACAGAACCAGTGGAGTTTACCACGATCACATCAGAAATTCCGGAGCCTATCACATCGCCACTCACCACTGGTAACGAACTTGAGGATATGACAACTCGATGGATCGGAACAAATCCTTGCGAGCTACCCATGGATGCGGGCTATTCAGGAGGGACGGCGCAGAAAATGTTAGTAATTGTATAATTTGCGTATAGTTACATACATGGCTAATTCAACTTTGTCGAAGGTTCTAGGTCTTTTTTAAAGCCGCATAGAAAACGACCATTTAGGTGGTACTTCGACGTATCCACAATGACCTGCCAACCGTTCACATTTCTTGGATCTGACGGCAATGCGAATAGATATTCTAGCAAGCAAGAATGTCAAAAAGTATGCGGAAGCGGTATGTGGTTCTACAGAAAGCTATTAGCGTAAATCATGTGATAAATTTTTTTGGGAAGGGTATATAGTTCAGCTATCCCAAAAATGTTTAAGTTCTGGATTGCTATTGATTTGGCGAACAAGACTATAGATTATAGTCCGTAAACATGAAACCACGAGTTGAAATGAAATGAATTTCCTGTTTTTATGCCTAAATCTCAGACTTCCCTCATGCCCAATTTGACGGGAGGAATAAACATTCTTTTTTTCATCTCATCATTTCGGACATCTTCTTCGATTTTGATGGGTTTACTGAATCATCACTATTAATCTACGCTCAATTTTTATGTCAACATAAAAATCATTCTTCTACTTATGCTGTTTTTCTTGCAGTGCAAATTTTACAGCGAATTAGTTGTAGAAATGCGTACAAAATCACAATGCCTACAATCTTTAGGATTTTCTGGAAAGCCATCACCAGCTGTTTGCGATCTGCAGCCGCAATTTGGAAATGGTACTTACAAGATACCTCGATATTTTTACGACCAGGTAATTTTTTGCTATCTACAAGGTTTTTTGGGAAAAATTATATTCGATGATGTATTGGACTCTACATGAAATTATCTTTGATCGTATGGACAAGTGTAATATTATCTATACTTTATTTTCTTACAACCTTATATCAGATTATTATTAATATTATTATATTATCATATTATGAGGTTGATGCACAGTTCTTGCACCAAAAATAAAAAAATGGCTTCAAAAATGCTTAAACAGACTAATGAGACTTACAGAATATGCTTGTTGTTATGTATTAGGTCGTTTCAAAAGTAATTTCGCTTTTTTCAAACGGGCACCACATTTGATGAAACAAAGCTTTCTAAGAGATCTTGGAGGCATTAGATGCAGAATTTCATTCTCTTTCTCATGGCTATGAAACTGTTGCAAGACAATCAATGAACTTTCAGAAAATAACCAAAATCTGCGACCCATGCTTTTTGAGATGGTCAAGTTTCACGATTTTTTAAAACTTTCATATCAATCCTCAGAAGGAGCTCGAGTAAAGATTCGATAGAGTAAACCTTATGGAATACAGTACCATTTTTTTCTCTTTCTCATAGCTCGCCTTAATTTTTCAAAAGATTTTTCAACAGAACCATCGGATTCTGGCATGCCCGCCTCAGCCACAACCGCATCAAACATCATACTTTTTCGGCATTTGAGACTACCAAGATGGTACTATGAGTTAGTATTAATTTTACAATGCAAGCGAGGATTTATGGGTTCGAAATATCAAATTTCGAGTTTTTCGGGTACAGTCTGGGGCTCGCTAAAGAAATAAGTTATGATGTTTTTTTCCCGGAAACTAAACGAATCGGAAACAAAAAACACCTGTTAGAAAGAGAAGAAAATGCTGCATCGAATAGTGTGCAAACTGCTCTTCTTTTAACGTTCTCCAAGGATTTAGCTGTCCAAGTATGGAAATTGGTAGCATCAGTTTAAATTCTGTTAAAAATGCATGACAATATATGGAAAGGAGAAAAAAGTTGTGCTGTATTCTATGAGGTTTGCTCTATCGAAATGTTACTTGAACTCCTTCTGAAGATTGATATGAAAGTCTTAAAAAATTGTGAAACTTGACCATCTCAAAAAGCATGGGTCGCAGATTTTGGTTGTTTTCTGAAAGCTCATTGATTGTCTTGCAACAGTTTCATAACCTTTAAAAAGAGAATAAAATTCTGCATCGAATCTTCCAAAATCTCTTAGAAGCCTTGGTTCCGCCAAATGTGGTGCCCGTTTGAAAAAAGCGAAATTACTTTTGAAACGACCTAATATATCAAAGGTAGTATTTTATAGTACATTTTGGAAAATTGATAAAAAACGAAATCACAAGACAATTCGAATCGAAATTCATAACTAGTCGCAGAGATATTTTATTACTACCAGCTTCTCTTCGAAAAGAGTGTGTCATGAAACCAACGTAAGATCAAGAATAAGTTTAAAATTAGTAGACGTTTTAGCAATTTTAGTGACCAAAAATCGAAAAATCACTTTTTGGGTATATTTTTGATTTCATTTCAGTTGACGAAACACTGCGAGCTTTTCTTCTACTCCGGTGAGGGAGGAAACGAAAATCGCTTTTTGAGGAAACAAAAATGCGAACGATATTGTCTAAGTGGGTGTCACACTCACACTGATTTTAAATTGCACTCCGATGTAACCGTTTGCAAATTCAGGAAAGAATAGAAAATACAGCACTCATGCAATCACAACGACGATGAGTACCAGACCAGCAACGAGGATAGTCCAAGAATTGCAAGCGTCACGAGAAATGCCATGTGAAAGTGAGTATTTGGGTTTATTTATACTTTTATTTGCTTCACACTTAAATATGAAACCCTGGTGCTTTATGAACGACTCATCTGCTACGTGTATTGCACCATGATGAATTGTTTGTGACGCAGTAATTTATCTAATTCGTCGCTTTGATCAGGTTTATAAAAATGCTACCGTACCCCGAAAGGCTCAAACGAAAGTTTGCTTTGCTCGACATCGTACGATAACCAGATGGACGTTGTGATCGCCTTCAGAGACTAACTCAGACAAGTGACCGGAACATAGACAGAACAATTGGAAAGTTCCGCCGGAACATCCGCGGAAATTTCGAAGAATGCGAACACAACAGCAAGGGGGAACACCTAAGCGATATTAACCTTGCTCTATTGACTGCGAGACTGACTTGCTATCCTCTGCACAATGGATGACATTTTCAATAATGCGCTCTAGTTATTGGCGAGGCAACATCGTAAGAGACAACAACACATTCAAAAACTTGCGGAAGTACTGGTAGGTCAAAGTGCTGCGTAACCGCTGGCATTTTTGGAGTTTTTGTGCCTTCTGTGACTATTCCTGCGGAAGCTCCCGTTTTCAACCAGCCTGGCATGATAATCCTGTGGGAGCACCTTGTAATAGTAAAGAAAATCCTGCGGAACGCCGTAAATGTAGCTTGTCCTGCGAGACCGCCGCAAATTTTGCTTGTACTGCGGAATCTTCGATGAATTGTCTGAGACCGTAGTAGTTGATTTCTGCAAAGTGAAGGAAATTATTAGTCCTTTTAGTGCAAATTTCAGTCTCAGCCCTTATAAATTATTTAGCCTCAACTACAATCGCTACGACAATACCTCCGACACAAACTACTACTCAACCAGCAGCTACGATAACTTTTACGACTGCTTCTTCTACCGTATCCACTGAATCTGCAACTGAAGCAACTACTTCGCATCCATATCCGACATTGATAACGTTCCCTAAAGGTAAGCGGTATGACCAGCTCCGAGGGGTTGAATACCTTTTGATTTACTGAATGCAAAATTTTGCTGATTTGGACATCAACACTTTTCATCTTATATCCAATGTCATGGCGTTTCCTACACATTTTCATCATCAAAAATTTTCCAAAATTTTTCTCTCCTCTTACACTTTTGCTACTATTTCCGCTTCGATACCTTGCCATGATGTTCAAATTTCAGAGTTCATTCCACCATTCCCGCAGTTCACCTTCGAGCCTATCGACCTTGTCCCGACGACTACTGCTCCAACTCCTCTTAACTCTGAGGGACCCATCAAACCAAATGAGCTGGTCGACTCCCTTTTTGAGCATTTGATGGCATCGACTCCACCTGCACCAGTTTTCACTTCACCTACCCCATCCGTGGAATCCACGAAAAAATCACAATTCCCATCTTTGATCATTGTACCAAAGGACTGGGAATACAGCAAATACAGTGGCAGCAGTGAGATTCTGGGTGCCGCTACAGTAACGGCCACACCTTTAAAGCAGTACTCGCTTCCATGGAGGATTCAATCACCATTTGAAAAAGGCATAAAACCCGCTTTGCCGGTTATGAGTGTCGTGCAAACCCGAGTAGAAACTCCCATGCTGCCAGCTTACCCTGTCGTTGCTTCGGGAGCTTCCCTTAGGATTGGTGGTGACTCCAATGCTGCGATTGGCTTACCCGAGGGAATCACTCGTAACTCCAACGGTAATGCGAATAGTCTACCCAAAGAGCTCCATCTGACTATGAACAAAGGCGATCATGCTGGAGCGATCAGTTTCTCAAAACCGGTTTACCTGGTTGTCAACAACAACACCAGTGTCGGAGCAACCTTACCCAGAACGGATTACCTCAATGTCAACAATAAGAACACAGATGGAGGAATCATGTTACCAAATCCAGTTCAGCTCTCTGCTAATTCTCAAGCTGCTGCCAAATTGGGACCGGCGCAGAATGCAGAATGGGTTGGACATGGGATACGAGCATACCAGCAGATTTTACAAGAGAAACAACGAACATTGACCTCTGCTCCTTTAGCTGTTCAAGTTGTCACAAATTCTGATTTGATTACGACCACTCAGACGAGTATAGCAAACCCTCCAGCAACTGAAAAGATTGTGGTACCTACGATGGAGATTAAACCGGAGGACTTTGCTGTTCACCCAGCACAACCGTCATCTATGGAAAGCGCTAACAGTTCCGGAGGAAGTAACAACTCGGTAAGGTCAAAGTCAATGTTTGTTTGGCTATGTGAAATAGTGAAAATTTTGGGTTTTTTCACCATTTTTCTCCATTTAGGCACTAAATCACAATTTCTAAATTACTCAAGGAAAAGGGCAGTCATAAAAATTTGATCTTATTTTATTTTCGAAAGTCTAAGCAAGATAACTACTAAGGAGGTCTCGGGGTTAGAGATGGAGTTTACCATTAATCCGTTATGGAAATCACCTCGGCAAATTTTTATCGAAAATCATCAAACTTCAACTTCTAATCTCACTGCATCAAACTTCATGCAGACGTTTGAATGTCATTTGCAAAGCTTCCTGCTCCCAGTAGCTTTATTAAGAACTAGCCGGCTATGCCGGCTCCGCCCGGCACACTTCAATGTCGACCCCCCCCCTCAAAGACTTATTCCAAGAAATTAAAACTTTGATTCTTTGGTTGTGCCGTTTCATTCGTAACCTTAGAGAGTTAGGCTGAATAGACCCTAGACTATCCTCGCAACTCATCACTAAGGAAGGATAGCTCGACCGAATCTATTCAGGTTCTTTGTGTGGTCCCACCCACCTTCCCTGATCACCACAGACCACCAAATTTTTGAAATTTTCTTTTTTCTTTTTTTTTGGGAGAAAAACAGAACTGCTTTGGACAGGTGTATTGATTAAGCAGAGCTGGAGCTTCTCCGAGTACCTGCACCTTTGATCCTTTCCCTTGCCTCGAGAATGCTGACTTAACGGAGCTGTTCGTTACCTTGAAACCACTGATTGGTTTGGTTCTTTTAACAATTAATACAATCAATGAAATGCATGAACTATTCATTTTCGTCCTTATTGTTAGTCAGTTGATAGTTGCATACCATTGATATTGTACCGTTGATTAATTTCTATCGTTGCATCCGGACTATTTAAGAAAATCAACCGCAGTTTGAGAAGACTAAATTTTGTGCGAAGGGAAGGAGAAACAGAAACAGAAAACAGGAGCGTTCAAATAGCATTTCCAGACATCCAAGCGATACAACATGCCGTAAACTTATTAAACTCCCTTTGATTTTTTCGTAACAGACGGACACACACATACCCTGCACACCCTGCACAACCTGCACAACCTGCACACCCTGCACAACCTGCACACCCTGCACACCGTGAACACTCTGTACACCCTGCACACCTTGAACACCCTGCACACCCTGCACACCCTGCACACCCTGAACACCCTGCACAACCTGCACACCCTGCACACCCTGCACACCGTGAACACCCTGTACACCCTGCACGCCCTGTACACCCTGCACACCCTGCACACCCTGCACACCGTGAACACCTTGCACACCCTGCACACCCTGCACAATGTGCACAAACATACAAATTTTCTGCTTTATATATCAAGACCTTATAATAACGGGCTAAGGGTTGTTTACGTGTTTTTGTGTGTGTGTGTGTGTGTGTGTGTGTCCGTCTGTTACGAAATTCGTAGAGCGTGTTCCAGCCAGCGTTTTAAGCCCAAATTTTGCATAGCGCATGCTACCTTCATGAAAGTTCAACGTGCAAAAGCACGAATAGATTCGTTGAATGGGTCCCTCAGAAATTGCGCGCCAAACGGATCCACCTGGCTTCTGTCCCGCAAAATTGGGTCCATATCACCACTTTTTGCAAAGTCCTGGATGTGTTTGGTAAGCAAATGTGCAAGCGATGGACTTTAGCCCAAAAAGTGGTCAAAAGTTTGCTACATAACGAAAACGGCGCCAGAAAGAGTTGGTTGTGTAAATGGTTAATTTGCTAAGGTTCTAGCTAAGCGTTTCAAAAGATTTTCGCACGGAGATGTAGCTCACGGTTACTATCGCCTTTAAGGGGACTACCAAGCCATGACAACTTCAAAAACCTATTCAAATTTGCGTTTGTCTTCCTACGAAAAGTTTCATCCACGCGAAATCACCGATCTCACGTGAAAAAACTTTCTGAATGAGTAGCTGTTTACATTTAATTCGTGGTAGTCGGCATAGTGCGGTAAGTTCCATTGCCACGATTTTACGAGAATGAGTAAGGCACATAGATAGTAGAGCCTCTGCGAAGCAGAGGTGACGCACTGGTATAGAGAATAAGAAGAATACAATTCTGTCAGAGTCAGAAAGATGTGGGATTATCTCATAGTAAAAACTAACCTTTTCTAGAGCACGTAACTGCAAACTACAGAAGGGGAAAAATTTTAGCAACTGGCTCAAATGTGTCGTCGCTATCTTACTTATTTAAACTTCCTTTTTTCAGTTAGTGCCTGCAGTTTCTCCTTGTATAATTCCGATCTTCGGCAATGCTGTGATTATGTGTGAACTCGATGAAGTTACTTGCCCAGCTGATACGTTTTGTCAGATTGGGGAAGGGCAGAGTATTTGTTGTCCTAAACCTCGTAAGTTCCCAGACCCATTTCTATAATCAATTCTAGCTTTGAGCTATCAGAATTTGCTTAATTGTCTAGGAAGTTACCTGAAATGAGCAGAACTCCAAGACTTTTCTTCTATGTCCTAAGTTAGCAAGATTTTGATGATGTAATGGTCGAGCGTTGTACGAAGATTTCCTTGCATTTTCTACTTCCTGCTCTAATCTGAAATTTTCTGTCCTCTATTTGATAGCCATGAAATTTCAATTTTAGCCGAGCCAAAGTGCAGTCAAGCTCTTCGCCCCGGAGTTGGTGCATCAGTGCTATTCCGATGGCACTTCAATGCAGAGACCCAGCTTTGCCTTCCTTTCGCTTTTCGTGGATTCCAAGTAAGCTATTGACCAGCACCCACATTGTCGTGAAAAATGACTTCTAGGGCAACGAAAACAATTTTGCAACGCTTGCGTCCTGTAAATTAGCATGTCTAGCACCAAAACTATGTGAAGGAGCTGTACCTGTTCCAGTCAAGAATGGGAATGAGAGGTAAGACTTTATCTAAAATCAAACTTATTTGCTTTATTAATCAGTAAAAGCATTTAAAAATTCGGAAATTTGGGGGACCTGCTGTAAGCTGCAGTGCGATTCTTATGTTAGTACATGGTTCGTCCCTCTTGTTAGTTAGTGAAATTTTAATAAAAAAGGAAATTTTGCCTATCTTGTCTAGTTTTCGCGTGCACCTGACTGCTATTATATAAACCAGGGCTCCGCGTGAAGCGGCTTTCCGAAAATGCAAAAAGCGAATCCCTCCTGACTTTCGCAGAATTTAATGAAATCCCCTTTGACCCTTATCCGAAAGATCCGACCCGTCTAAAAAACGAAATGTCGACTAAAAAATGAAAGAGAACTAGTTTTCGACCCACAAAAACAACATTCCCTTTGCGGACGATATCCAGTTTATCCAGCTTGTTTATAAACTATATGTGCCGAGTCCTGGCTATAAACTTCTGTAAAAATTATAGGCAAAAAAAACGAAAGAAACTCACTTCTGATAATACAGAATTTCCATATTTTTAAAGTGTACTTTAGTTCTTCCATAACAATTTTCAGCTGCTCAACTTCAAACTCTTGTCCAAATGGCTATATATGCAAAGTAAGCGAAGATGGCAACTTATCAGCGTGTTGTCCTGAGCCCGTACTCCCGCAGAAAACCATGACGCCTACGGGACGTTTAGGTGAGCTTAATTACTTGAATGATTTTTCTTAGACAAGACACGTTCAGCTCGAAGTTGCCTCATGACACAAGATGCTGGCTTTGGAGTTGAAAGTAGTCATCGCTGGTCGTTCGATCCGAAATCGTCTAAATGTGTTTCTTTTATCTACAATGGTCACGGTGGTAATGAGAATAATTTCCTGTCAAGGAGCGACTGTGAATCTGCTTGTGAGTCCGGCCTCTGTCATTATTTTTTTTACAAACAGCAGTCCCTTGATTTAAATGAGCGCAAAATCGCTTCGTGGTCGCCATAAAATATTTGAATAGAAAATTAAATAAAAATTCACATCAAATTGATAATCTCCCTTAGATGTAGCAATTCAAGAAACATCATTGTGCATGATCCTTCTCTGTATTATTACCGTTCCATCTCTGCAGATTATTTTATTTGCTACCGATTGTGAGAAAATTTTCCAAAATCTAATTTGATTGCAGGCAAAACAGCTGACCCTTGCAATGAGCCAGTAGTTAGTGGCACAGGAAACAAGTTTATCTCTAAGTTCTTCTATTCTAAGGTGAGTCAAGCTTTTGATATTTTTTGAAAAAAATGTTTTTGAAGACCATGGAATCAAAATGCAAACGTGTTAAGGAATATGGTCAATGCCTGCATTTTGTATATTCTGGAGAAGGTGGAAACTCCAATAACTTCGCAAATTTGCAAGAATGCATGAACACTTGTATGTCGGATAATGCCCAGTTCAACTGTGAGTTTTTACAAAAAAAATTTTCGTTCGGATTTTTATTGTGATAAAAATAACAGCCGCAAACCAACACATGTAAAAAAAAACCATTAACATCCAGTTCCTCTTCCTTTTTTTTGTTAGAAGTTCTTTATGAAGCAGAAGAACTACTTTGCCAATATACATTATCTGAAAATTTTTAAATTTTTTTTAGCTCATGTAACCATCAATGAGCCAAAATTTGAATTTGCATTTGTCCCACGTCCAGTCTGTCCACATGGAGATGTCACAACGTCGGGAGGAAAGCCGATCGCCTGTGACTATCGGAGGGTTCGTTCATAGAATATTTGGAAAAATCAAAATAATAACCTATTTAGGGAACTGGTTGCCCTACTGGCAACGTCTGCACATCTATGGATTTAGGAGCGTATTGCTGCCAGGCGCCAGGTAATAATTTCAAATTTTTTTCACTTTTTGAAAATGGCTTGTTTGTGACCCAAAAACGACATACTAATACGCCCTTCTACTTATCTATTTATCTTGCAAGAATGTTTAACCTTTGATCCAACTGGATTGGGGCTGAAAGGCGGGGCTTTCGATCTAGTCAAGCTCGCTCGCGCCCGCGATGCAGTCGGTGTCTCTCTCGCGCTCGTGCTCGTTGATAATTCTCTACCCTTAACTAGGTCACGAAGCCCCGCCTTTCAGCCGCCAATCCGCTTGAATCAGGTTACATACGGTAATTCCTAAGAAATTCCTCTACTTCCATCTGCATCATGTCTCTCTACCATTGGGGTCTCAGACTGGCTCCTTACCGCAAGCTCCTATATATAACTTTGTTGAAACAGAAATTCTCTACAAGCTTTGAGAAAGAGTAGCGTATTAGCGTTTTTAGCGTATTCTCAAATTTTTTCATTTTCGATGACGAAGTGAAGCTATTGATTTTATTGTGGTTTTTCAAATGAAAGTAAAATTTCTTATGAAGGATGACCAGGCCATAACACCCTCCGAATCTTTTTGTATGGGAAGTGAAAAAAAGAAATAATAATAGCGAACAATCGTGCTGTGTCACCTTTTAGATTCCAAAAGTTGTGTTAACAAACAACTTTGTACGTTATGAGCTACAAGCGCTAACTTAGCCTATCTCATTTGTAAGTAGAATATAATAAAACTTAAACTGACGATATGAACGCATTCCATCAATAATTAACTTTTTCTTGATTGTCACAAAAAACATGAAGGTAGAAAATCATGGCTTACTTCTTGTACCAAAATTTTTGAAATTCTATTACTTCATCCAGCTTCGACGAAATCTTTTGGTTTGATAAAAAGTAGAAAGAGCAAATCTTGCGCTTTCTGATGGCTTTCGAGTCAAAATGTCATGAAGGCATATGGCAACGATACAAGGTGAAAAGGAGAAATATCCAAAAGTGATTTTTCGATTTTTGGTCAGTAAAATTGCTGAAATGTCTACTAGATTTCAAATCTATTTCTGGTCTAAGTTTTATGACATGCTCTTTTTAACCAAAGAAGTTGGTAGTGAATGGATGTCTCTGAGGATGTTACGAATTTCGATTTTTTCTGAATTGACTTATCGATTTTGTTTCATATTGATTTTTTCAAAGAGTACATAAATTGCTACTTTTGATATACTAACAAAGAGCATATCATGTAAGTTGATATTTTGTTTGAGCATCTTGGAAATAATTTTTTTCTTTTCTTTTCGCGTGAATTGTGCATCAACCTAATAGTTTGCCTTTATTATTATTATCCAAAATGATATTTCAATGATGTTGTTTTCGCCTATCCACGTTGAAAGCCAGCAATCTGTTGGAGCGCACTGATTTCTTTTAGGATGTAGCTTACAAATTCTTCTAAAATTTGGATTTTTCTTCCAGTTCCTCTTACACTCCACCGCAGTCAGATTTTTTTTCTAAATAAACTTTTTCATTTTTTTGCAGAGACGTTTTGTCTGCAACCACGTCCAGCTCTCTCGGTCTGCTTATCGCCAAACTCAACTCCAGTACAACGGATAGAATTCACCTACGATCCTCTGGCTGATCGATGTGTGAAGTTCAATTACACATCCTGCTCACCTTCTCTGAATTTAAATCATTTTTCGTCTAGTTCACAGTGCAAACGACTTTGCTGTAATCAGGCAAGTATTCCACCTTACTATGAGAAAAACTGAGAATTTATTTCTAGGGTTACGACCTCGTCTACAGGAAGCGGTTGCTTCATATGAACGACTCGCCGATGGAAGTTTCTGAAGATGAGCAAAGGCATTGACTTATAAGTTAATTCTGCTCACAATGGATCATTGTACCAGTTCTCAAAGTTCTTGTCTCTTTCTCGAATTGTCTTTCATTAGTTTGGTTTGGTGCAGATACCAGCCAGCGCATTCCAGTTTGCAAGGAATCTTATGGGTATATTCTGAATCTTTCAATACTTTGCTCACCTCATTATCGTTTCGCTATGTAATTAGAGTCAAATTTTGAAATTGTGCTGTTTCAAAGAATAGTAGCTCCTATGCTGGCTCCAGTGTGCGTTTAGACTTCTTTGAGTCAAGAATTGTTGTTATCATATGAGCGATAAAGTCCACAATTTAATGTAAGGGGCTTTTTATTATGCAGTTTGAAAAACCAGTCTAAGTTTAGAATGTCCAGCTCCCAGCTCCTCCCGGTCTTGTCAAAGACTGCGATGGTCACCATTCTCTAGTTCTGTACAACATTTTCTACTCATTTTCACTTCTACATGTCAGATTCCGAGTCTGCTGAAACTTGGTGCATAAGAGTAAGCCGACCTGCTGATTACGAGCATTGTATTTATTAAGCGTGATATGGTGTTCTAATCAGACATATGGTATGTACACGGTAGTAGATCAGCACCTAAGAATTTGCTTCAATTTGGCAAGTGGAGTTTCTGACTTTTGTTCACAGATATCCTCATTGACTGTTACTGTTGGTACCCGTTTACTTGTACCAAAAAGAGATCTTATTATTTTGTTCAACTGTGCAAACGCTGTTGTGTTGTGAATCCGGCTAAAGGTCCCTCTCCTCTACGTACCTTTAGCCGGATTCTTGCATCCGCGTTCCTCTCAGTCATTCACGGGAGTTAGCGTTTATCACTTCAACTTGATTACACCCCACCCCCTACCGGGCCCTCCTATACGACCCCGCAGGTGTGGCGTGCCACACCCCCACGCTTCATCCTGTAGATAGACATACAATACAGACAAACCGACACTCAGGTTTATATGTATGTGTAAAGATCTACTTGCTAAACACGTTGACGACAGTGCCGCGCAATTGTGCGCGGCGGCCTTAATTTCAATACTATCGGTCCAATCCTCTCAGTTTTCGTTCATATAATCATCATAGGCTCAGGTGTACTTCACATGTTGGCCCCGCCCCTTTTGGCAAGCTCCGTCCACTCCTATGCTCCTTACAAGGACCCTTTTTGTTCATAAAAAGCATGGATGAGGCCATAGATAAACACAAAAAGCTCAGGCACTTTAAGTCAGGCCCCGCCCACCGCAGGCAAACTCCGCCCCCCTAAGTGGCAAGCTCCGCCCAGTTTTAAAGGTGACGAAATTTGCGTGAATTCTCAAAATTTTGGCAACTTCCGTCATTTTCGGTCAGGTGGGCGGAGCTTCACATAGAGGCGGGGCTTGCAAAATTTATATTTTGTGCATGGATGCATGCATACATACATGCGGGCAGGTGTAGGGATGCACGTAAAGGTCTCGTCCACAGGGACAGACCTCAAAATGACTCGTCGTCAACGTGTTAATGCATGATATTGCATAGATCGCGAGGAAGAAAGTCGAAACACGTTTTGCTGCTGGCCATTCGCTAGCCAGGTAGTTGAACTTCTCCCATGAAGCCCCCTTGTTATAAAGTTAGTATATTTCAAACAATCATGAAAAGTCCTCATACCTTCCATATCCGTGCACAAAGGGGCATTTTCAGTTACATCCTTCTTATGGAATGGATACTGTTCTCGGCTCGCTCGACTTTCTTATGTGTAGCACATAATGGTCTCAATACGTAGTTCAATGAGACCTCAGTGCCACTCAGTACAAGAAAATGGATTTGCCCAGTTGAGAAAAATCTCCTTTGATCCGATAATACCCAATTGGGAGACATGCAAGTGGTACGCAAGCAGCCGACTGCTGCCGCAGCCAGCCGCCGGAGCTGGCGTAAGCTAGCCGTTTAATACCTCTTCGCCGAGAGGTTTTCTCGCACCTCGTCGGTTTAGGTGCGATATCAGCCTCAGGGACAGCGCGATATTATCGGTCTTATATAGCAATATCCATATCATTTTGAACAGCAAAAGATTCTTAGTTTGTTGATAAAATGAAAATGAACAAATTTACACAGAGTAAAGTTTTCCTAGAGGAGAACAGTCCAAACTCAATCTCTTAAAGTGATCAGAAGGTGAAGTAATTCAAAATTTAAAAATTGTTTAGTTATCAAAAACTTTGTTTTTTAAAACTTAAAACCGGAGGAGGACAAACGGTCTAAAGTGAGAAGAAAGGTTTTTTTAAATGAACATTTAAAGACTTAGTGGTGATAAGAAAGCTGATAAGCCAAATTAGGTCAAATGACTGAGCCAAAGTGCGTCAAAAATTGAGTTGGTCCCTGATGCTGATATAAAAGACAATAGAGTAGGTCATCAAGAACTAAAAGGTCTATTCTATACAGCCTTCAACAAGAGCCTCAGGCTCAACAAGGTTGTGTGAAGAATTCATCGCCTTCGGGTATTCCATGATTTGGCCTTATTAAAAGCACCTTAAAGAAATTTAAAAAAATTAATAATCTAAAATCTGAACGCGAATTTCGAGGGAAACTAGAGATAAGTGAACAGCTCATCCGGTCATCCGGTATGGTATTCCTGGTTCGCATCTCTGTTACGTCTTCCAATACCACAAGAAATCATCAAGAGCCGACACGGCTTTATATATATGCTATGGATGCAAGAAACAAAACAAAAAATACACACCAATTGCTGTACGTGAAAAGAAGAGAAATATCAAATAAATCAAAAACCACTTTTTCAGATTCTAGAGAGCTTGTTCGATAAAGATTCATGTCTTCTAAGTCACAACTGCATACCTTTAGATAGACATAAGGACAAAGCTAACCGTGTAGCTTATGAGGTTTCTGGATTTTTTATTGCTTGTCTATACTTCTATTTTTGAGCAATTTCTAGAGCTGTCAAAATATGAAAAACGATCCAAAATTGAAAAGAACCACCCCTAATAACCATTTCAACAAGACCGCCTTTCAAACTCTCAAGTCTTCATGGAAAACACCGAAAGCGAGAAAAAAATATTGGCCAATTTCGTACAAAAAAGTTTTTTTTGAAGAATTTGAAGATTTGTTGCTTGTATATAGTTTTGTGAATGCTTGCATGGTTCTCAATAAACCAGGAAGTTTTTGCTGTTCAAAATGATATAGATATTGATATATAAGATCGATATTATCGCTCTGTCCCGGAGCTGATATCACACCTCAGCACGACGAGGTGCGAATAAATCTCTCGGCGGAGAGTTTCGGACTGCTAAAGTAATTATCCTACCATATGCGGCTGCGCTGACGCCAGTCTTGGCGGCTGGCTGCGTCAGCAGTCGGCTGCACGGGTACGACTTGCTACGCACCCTACCCCTATTCGTCGTCGTAAGTTACCATTTTTGCAAGCAAAGTGAGGGATTACCTACTTAAAAACTTTCTTTGATGTAACCGTGAGCTCAAAAACATTAGCAACGCCAGTAGGCACTTTCAGAGCTCGCTCTGTTGACATAGGAATCCCACACAGAAAATTCATACCGCATTTCTACGCGATCACCAAATTGTTGAAATTGTTTATTGATGGCTTAGATTTTGACTTTTTCGCCTTCGTCAAAGTTTGGAAATCGACGTTACGACAGTCTTTTCCTCAAAGGCCAACAAGAGACTCAAAGTGCTAATTGAGAGTGGAAGCCAATGAAGAAAAGTCACAGTTGAGGAGCACTCACCTAGGATAAAAACAGAGCAAAATTCGAAAGCCCACGTGTAGGTAAGCTATATCTCAAGCCTGAATATGCCGTCCTAACCTAAACTCACATTTAGGTCCGCAAAAAGGCTGATATGATGCCGGTTCCCTACTTAGCAATTCACTTCTTTCTATGCAGTTTTGGTACGAACGTTTCCAACGTTCCACGAGCAAGGATCATCAAGTTCTGACAAGAATTATGCTGAAATTGCGTGACTGTTATTGCGGCACCTTTGATCTTTTCTTGAAACATTTATGTAAATGAATATCCTACGCTAAAATTTGGCTTCAGCAATTTCATTGGAGATTAAGTAGCAAAAACATGTGCCTGTAGTCCCTTTTAAATTCAGCTGGTATCCCGGGGCAAGCAATTTTCGATGATAACAATCTTTTAATGCAGCTGCATTGTTTAGGATAGCATTGTAACAACAACTAGGTCAAGTTCATATACGGTTGCTTTTCCGTGTAACAACGGTCTCTTTCCAGATTTTCAAACACCACTTTGAGCTTTGGCCGAATTTCTTTCGTTCAGATATTAGGTGTGAACAGGCGGCTATGCGATTTAAGACGGGCACCGAAAAAATAGTCCGCTGATTTCTTGCGGTCCGCTTGCAGGTATCTGAAAGAATTTTGGCGAAATTTTGGGCGAATGATGCCAGGAGAATAATTGCAGCTTTTTCATAGGTTAATTGCGGCGCAGTGGCCGCACTCTCGCGGACTGTTCAGGGTTACTGGGGGGAGGGGAGGCACACTGCTCTTTATGAAGGACCGCACAGCAAGTAGGTAGTACCTTCCGCTAAGAGAAAGTACTCGAACTCGGGTGGTTGAACTATCGATGATACCACTATTATGTAGAGTGTTACCTTTGCATGGCGTACGCCCGAAACTGCGTGAAAAAGTCCGAGCTGCTGAAAGTTTGGCAGCGCTCGCTGAAAGAGATGATTTGACGTGCGCTTGTGGAAAAATTTGTATTGCTGCCCGCTGGCAGAACACAGAAGTACCGCTCGCTGAAGGTTTGGCCATGCCCCAAAATTTTGCTGACAGCAGAAAAGCGGCAGAGCTCGAGCTTGCGACCGTCTGCCCCGGAGACTGAGTGCTTGTTTTGGCGTTGAGCAGCATGTTGCTTTGAGGTGACAGAACTTCAAAGCAACATGCTGCTCAACGTCAAAACAAGCACTCAGTCTCCGGGGCAGACGGTCCGCAAGCTCGCGCTCTTCCGCTTTTCTGCTGTCAGCAAAATTTTGGGGCATGGC